GGTGAGGCGTAATGTTTGTGCTGGCACTTGACAGCAGCCGTAAGAAGTCCGCAGTCTGCAGTCGGCTAAAGTCAAAGGCTGTGTGACTTCTGAACCTCATTTTAACTTTCAGAAACAATAAAAATCGCATTACATTATACATGAGGCTGAAACGCAGCCAGCGGAAGTCGATCCTACACTGGCAGGCTGGCCCGGATTTGCCCGTCTGTTAATGATTTACATTTTGAATGCCGCCAGAAAGTGAGCGTAATTATTCAAAACATTCGCAGCGTTAACAAACCCGAAATGGGCAACCACTGAACTCTGAACAGCCAAAATCGCTCTGCACATCATCACTCTCCTCTTCATTAATCAGAGAAGGTCTTGTCTTCGTCCCACTGTACGACGATTAAAAATTCATTAGTGTTTGCTAATGTAATTATGCGCTTTTGAAAACTAATGGCCAACTGGGCTTAGGCAAACAAATAAACTTCGGGCTTTAGACGTCAGACTCGCTGCCATGCCGAGCCTGCAACATTTGAGCTTTCAATTGCGCAACTCTGAAACTTTGCACATAAAATCAACCACTTGGCATTAAACTCAAATAAAGCATTAAATCAAAACTTGATGATTTGACAAAATGCAGAGTTGTGAGACTAAAATCTAAGAGATTAGGTTCTTGCTGTTCAACTTATTAGCTGCAATAAAGCAAAATAATTACTTGACGTTCTCCTATCAATATTAGTTTTATAAATGACTTTATTTAACTATAAGCTTTTTTCTTGCCTATCACAGTAGCTTGCTGTAGAGCAATGTGAGGAGGACAAGTTCAAATCATTTTGAAAGGATTTTGAATGAATTAATGAAATAAAAAATTGGTGCTCAAAAGATGCTTTATGTAAAATGAATTAAATTGGAAGAGCAGTTTAAGTTTTTAAGCGCTACCTAGCTCTAAAAAATAATAAACTGTAAAGTTACAGAGACATGTTGTCGTACTACTCAACAGTAATTTTGTATACAATTTTATAAAAGCGAGCGAGCAAGGAAATTGTTTTTGCCACAAAATTGTGTATTGTTCATTATGGCTTAGAACAAACACATGCCTAGGCCATGTGCCAGAAGTTATATTCAAGTTACTGTGGCCATACTATCTAGTTTTCTCAAAAAAATTAGTTGCTGTGTTGCATTTAACCATCCAATGTTTCAATACAACAGCTTTATACTATATATAATTAAGAGATGCGATAGACGATTCGATTAATGCATTCAAAGCACAAACCTAATAAAAGGGCTATATTGAATTGAATTAGCTGATGGCTAATGATAATCGAAAAACATCAAACAATTTGCACTTTCCTACACACGTTCAATATTATAAAACAGTTTTCGTATAATTTTCAGACTGTCAAAATAAAATCAAATAATAAACAGAATAAATAAACAATTGAGTAATTGTTTTGCACTAAGAACCAGTTTCCGGTCTTCAACTTTACGAGTACAAGCCCCGAATTATCAAATTGCATTTGTCATGTCTGTATGTATGAGAACTTTCATGCAAGACTGTAGTAGCTCCTGTAGTGAGGGAGAATGGAGAACATGATGCGCCACAGGAAGCAGTCGCGTCTTGTATTCTTGCACGTAATTACAACTGAGCGTGTAATGTGAGCCGCTGAAGTTTATTGCAATTGGTTGACATGTTGTTAACGTTGTTATCAGCGAGTTTTATGAAACGCTGCTGTCACTGCAGCTTCACTCATTAGTGCAAAAGACAGGCAGTTTTAATTGGATATTATACGGTTAGACACATGCTATATAATAATGCAATAAAAGTAAAAGTTACAATACTCTGCGCGATCGGGTTGCACTAATCAGAGGATTTGTCTGTTGGTTGTGTTCTTAGTCGCATCTGGCATACATGTACTCGTATGAACTGAGGAATTCCAATTTAAATCGAATTTTCGCATGACCAAGAAAGGGTAGACACACATACTTACATATCTGACATGACATTTCAGGGCAAACTGGCCCAACCAAAATTCAACCAAACGCAGCCTGGCCAAGTGTGTCAATGCAGTGCGGCGTCTGCACACAGGCTCTGATGCGACTGACTGACTCTTCTGGCTGGCAATATACTATTTGTGGTACATTTATTGGCTTGTCTGGTCAACTTGATATAGACACAGATGTCTGTACACATATACTGATGTGTAGCATAAAAAGAGGATAGAGAGAGGTACTTCAAAGGCGCTTATTTCCTTGTAGTGTTGCCCAGTTGAGCTACGAGGCTAAGGCCATGCCCACCAACAGCTACACAATATGTGCTCGTATTTGCACAGCTGTCGGGCTGTAGGGCTGTTGGCTGATGGAATGCAGGGAATGGGCGGTGAGGTTTTTTAATACACTGTATTCATTACACATTACCCACAAAATTTGAAACCTCCGAAACGCACTGCGGCGCCATGGTAAAGCATCAGATTGCAACTTGCTGAATATACAAGTAGTACAATGGAAGGCAAAGTTGCACTTAAATTATTGCAAAGTTAAAACTTAAACTAAATAAACTTAGTGGCAGGCGCACCTAACAATTTGCAAGGTAAACATGGCTTTATTTTAGTTTCAATTTTCGCTTCGTTATTTTTTCATGGCAGCAGCTCATATATACATATATACCAACTGACACAGAGACACACAAACACACGCGCACACAGGCCTACGAGGCGTGAGTTTGTTTTAGAATGCGCCACCCCCCGCAGTCGCATGTTGTCTTTGCCATCGCCATCATCTTTTGCCGCCATTTTACGCTCGTTATGGCAACACTTTGGCGCAAACGCCAAAGCAAAGGCAAACGGCTCAAACGACGGCCGCGCGGATGGTGGTGGACGGGTGCCGACGGCTTGGGAAAAATTGTTATTGCGAGACGGTGGCGACAACGGCAACGGCAACAGCAACAGCAATGGCAACGGCAACGGCGGCTCGTTATGTTCTATAGTATAGAGAACAAAGCAGGACGAAGGGAGAATCATTTCGAGCAGAAACAACAAGGGAAATGCACAAAACGCCTTCGCGCTCTCACTCGACTGCGATTTAGTTTGACTGTATATATGTACTATATATATATATATATATATATGTGTGTGTGTGTGTGTGTGTGTGTGTATGTGTCTGTGTGTTTAATTGTGTGTGCACTTGCGTTTGTACGAGTATGTGTATGTGTGCGCCGTCTCGATGTGTTTGCCTGCGTTCGCTCCGTTGACTGGCAACGTTCGTCGCCTGTCCCCAACTCCTATTTCCCAGTTCGCGCTCCCTCCTTGTCCCTCTCTCTTCGGTCGCACGTGATTGACTGCAGCCGCCGACTGCAACAGCTAAGGCAACAAAAACGACAACAACAGCTACATGTCTGCTAGTAGTTTGGCAATAATTTTCTTGAGTTCATTTGATGCCCACGCTTCTCCTCCCCCCTCTTTCTCGCTCTCTTCCCTTCCATCTGTCGTCGGCAGCAATAGACGCATGTCGCCGTCAGAGTCAGCCCTGTGTGCATTTTGCTTGTTTGCTAACGCGCGCGTCATGTTTGTTTACATGATTGTGCACACGAGTGTTTTCCCGGCCCTCTCTTGAGTGTCTCCGCATCCGTATCCGCCTACGCCGTCACCTCCATCTCCATTTCCGTATCTGGGCAAGTGCATTAGTGCCCGAGTGTTTGCATTTCTTTTGAGTAAAATCACAGCAAATTATTTTTTTATTGATTTTGTAAACATTTGCATACGATTTGCGCGATAAAAGCACCACCAGCAGCAGAAGAGCAAGGAAAGCGAATTAATTTGCCTGCGATCAGTGACTGACAAAAGCGTCGTTGCATATTACTCATACGCCACCGTTTGCAATGCGCTTGTCAGTCAACAGTTAGTCAACAGCCAGCCCTGTAGACTGCAGTCTGCAGTCTGAAGACCCAACAATGCTAAGTGGGGGGAGACCACACCAACCGCATAAACCGCAGCAATTCGCGACAAGAGCTAGAACAACAACAACAACAACAACAACGAGAACAACAAAGACAACAACTTTTTACATTTGCTACGAACTTTTCAGCATTTTCTTGTTGCCACATAGACCCAGTGAGCAAATTGTAAATGAAAAAGTTTTTATGTTATTCAGTGTTTGCTGTCCGTCCCTTCGGCTTGTCTGTCTGTCTGCCTGACTGGCTGACTGCCTGACTGGCTGACTGCCTGACTGCCTGCCTGCCTGGCAACGAGGCTCCTTGTGCCATTGCCGGCTGGGTTCCTCAAACTTTGGTGCTTACTTACATATATTTATTTTTGTTGCTGGCCTTGTGGCAGCTCCTATTGGACTTGTATTAGTTGTGGTTGTTGTTGCTGCTGTTATTATTGTTGCTTTTATTGCTGCATTATGTCTATTGTTGTCTATATAAATTTTGTCGAAAGTAATTGTAAATGCTGTTCATAGTTGTTTTGCTGTCAATTTTTGTGCGCTTTTTGGGGGATTTTCAAGTCGGCATTGCGGATTCTTAAAGTCAATGTTGTTGCATCAGTAAATGCGCTGAAATTTGTTTTAGCTGGAATTACGAATCAAAAAATCTCAATGGCTTGTCCTTGCGCATTGCCTCGAAGTGCACGGTCCTTCCATTTGAAAATTAACTAGAAATATATATACACACAAATAGATTATTTGATTACACAGCAATGAAATACTGAGACTTTAAAATGCGTTCATAATGTGAAGCACAAATAAAATAAGCATAATACAAACGCGCAAACAACGTCATAAATAAATCAAATAAGTGCAGATTTCTTTGAGAGAGGAGAGGTGAATTGCCAACGAAATCAAAAGTAAAAGCAGCAAAAGCAACATAAAGCCGCGTCCAGGAGAGCGGTGTGGATAGCGAATGCGATGGTGGCGACGCCAAAGCCAAGGCGGGCGTAGAAATGCACTCACCTAGAAAGTGTAAACGAGAATAAGAGGAAGTAGAGGAAGGAGACAACTGCAAAAATAACTACAAGAGCGCCATCTGACTTAGACAATGTAGCACAAAGCAAAAGGAACGCGCTTAAGAGTGCATGTAAAGAAACAGTAAGCGAAAGCAACAAGCAATAAGTATTTAAAGCAACAACACCAAACGCGTCGTGACATTTCGTCCATTTTTGTTAAAACAGCGACAACATTAAGCAAAAACAACAGCACACTGACGACCAGAAGACAGCGCTACCAACATGACCCGCTTCAGAATAAAAAACCTAAAAATACTCTCCTGCTGTCTCAGCGTCTGGGTTATGTTTTTCGCAGCCGCTCTTCACCTGGCGCGCTGCAGCGAATTTCCGGAGCGTGAATGTTGTGACCTGACCACCACATCTACTGTGGGACCACTGCCCATGCCACCGGCGGCATTACCCACGGATAAATCGCTGTCATCGGCCACCACGGTCGTGGAGACAGACATAACGATCGGCAGATCGGGTAAGTGATCCTCAAAACCCCATACATCCGATGCGAGGCTTCGGGATGGTGATTTTTGACCACAAACTTTATGTATAAAGTCCTAAGCTTGCATTCAATGTAAAAAGTTCCTGGTATCAGATAGAAAAACTTTGATTTAGAAGAAAACATTAAAAAGAAAAACACTGCATATATTGCCACTTTAATTTAAATCAATGATTATTTTTAAATAGGCCGTATTTGGTATTACAGATAAATCAATTAACCTTTGAAATATAAATTGAATTGGTTTACTTTTTAAATTAAAAAAGTGTTTACCAATTTAATAATAATGTTATGCAGTACAAAACTAATCTGAAGCAGCAGCAACAACACTGCCTTTGGAGTTAATATATTATAAGAAAACTTGACAAATGCAGAAAAACTATGTATAGTAATTGTGGGTAAGAAATTTTAATTGTGAAATATAACCAAGAGCAAAGGAGTAAGGGAGCTTATCGGTAAAACGTACAATCTATTCATTTTTTCAGACGTAAAATAACCTCCTTATTCTAACCCAACTTTAGTTATTTGAGCTCTAAGGGATATTACGTCTGTGTGAGTCAATAGTTGGGAAGAAAAAGTATGAATTATTTTCTTATGCCATCTTTTTCTACGATGAAATGCCTTTCGATGGACAAAAGCTCCAAATTAACTGTAATAATAATGTAAACTGCTCTGACCTTGTGCTGATGGATGGCCGTACATTTAGCAAATAAAATATTTCGAGTCATATTATAGTTATCATAGATATTCCTATTGCTAAGCAGGGGGATATCAGTGCACTTATACATACTATATTCTAACACTACAGAGTGGGCTTGGTCCCGGCTCCTGTATTACCTGCCCTGCTTCTAAAAGTGTTGCTCCTATTATTGGCAGGCGGTTCTTAACGGCTGAACGGTTCTGCACATGCCAAGCAACCACAACCATTCTTAGCACAACCGCAGCGTGTAATGAGGCAGCAGAGGAGAGGCTGCAGGCAATCTCTAATGGTTGGGGAGAGCGCAAGCTGCATGCTCTCATGCTCCAATTAACACGACGACCTTTAAAGCCAATGCCTAGAATCGAGTCGAGACTCATTTAATGTGGTCTGGGAATGTTCGGGCTGGTAAAAATAAAATACACACACACACACACATACAAAACACGAACACATGCATAGTTTGACATTCACTGACTTCATCTAAGAACTACGTGGCGCCATCTGGCGACAGCCTGCAGCTGCAGCTGGCGCAGAACCATTTAAAATGCAAAGCAAACGCCAGTTGTAAAACAATTTATATTCACTTTGAATTGAGGTTTTGTTTTGGATTTTATTGTGTGGCAGCGACAACCCAGAAGATCTGCATGTACATATCTGTCGGTATAGAAGGCACTGTTCATACACGAATAGACGCACAGTGGTTCGCAGCTTAATGGTATATAAAGTTGTTGTATGTATAGTTGTTGTAAATAGAAACAAATTAGTAACATTAATTTCAAACAAAAAACAAGATAGAACGCTACAGTCGAGCAAAAAAGGAAAATTAAAAAAAATTATTGAAAAGAAATAATTAATTAATTTAATTAAATATAAAATATTCAACACATGCATATAATAAATGTACATCAGAATCGTGTTTCTGTGTGTTTATATACGTGTATGTATTCAGCACAAAGTTTAACCAAAGCAGCAACAACAACAGCTACGGGCAGAGCTGCAGGAAGTGCATGCGATTTTATTTATGGCTATAACTTTCTTCATAATTGACCTATCATGATGAAACTTGGTATACGAATATATAATAACTAACTGGGTGACTATCAAATTTTAGTTCCCAATTCCAAGAATTTGGAATTATAGAAAACCGCGAATAGGGTGGGAGTGGGGCGGTGCATCAGAAAAAATTAACAAACTCGTTCTTTCTCAGGCTCAGAAGAATCTGGATACCAAGTTTTTTTATCTTTTGGGTACACGGTATAAAAATTAGCCTGAAAAATATTCAAGACGAACAGATCTATATCCCTTAAAATAATGGCTATATTGATTTGTGAAATCTCCCACATTATTTGAATTCTTTTTCTTAAAATAGGGCTTAATTCTCCTCATGTGAAGACGTTACAGCCATAAATGTAATCTTTTTTCATACTTTGTCTGCAGTTGTTCTTAGCACTGCTGCTTTTTTTCAACATTGTATTGCACAGAAAGTTATAGACACAATTTAGAATATGTATGTAAAACAAATTATTACAAACATATCTGTTTATAATGCGTTTAAATATTATGCTACAACAAAATTCTAATGACACTTGGGGATTCTGATTTGAAAGTGTGGAATTTCAGAGTCAAATCTATCGTGCTGTGTATGAGCTGTGCTCCACTGTATGCGGGAAGGTAGAATCTTGTTACCCGAACGCAACTTGACTTGTTTTAAATGTTTTGTGAGCGTTGCTACGTGCCGTAAACAGCAACGGAAATGGCAACAAAAACAATTGGCAACTAGAAAGAAAGCCAAGAAAGCTAAGTAAATAAATGTACCAGGCCACTGGGTTTGTTGCACATGCAGAAATTTGTTGCACATGGGTATTGTTTTTGCTGCGCAGAGATGTGCATGTGTGCGAGTCTGTGTACTTTCCTTTGAACAAACATTTAATTCGCCAATTTGCGAAAAGACATTGTCGATACAACTGAAGAGGTGGAGCTTGGCATTACTAAGAAACTTACCATTGAGAATGAGAAAAGAAATATGAGATTAAAATGTAACTGGTGCCTACCCCTAGCCACACCCCAAGTTCTTCACTCGGACCAACTATTTGCAATACAATTAAGTGCAATTCTTCCTGCTTGCCTGTTCCTGCTCCCGGCAAATGGACAGTGGCGGAGTGGCCAAGCGCAAAACTTTTGAGAGTGCATAAAACTTTTTGCCATTTGTGAATGACGCACAGAATTGGAGGAAAAAATGCTGCCTCGAAAATATTGAGTGGCCGTTGTTAATAGCATTTTCATGAATTTTTCATTACATTTAAATGTCAAAGTAGCAACAAATTAAAAATGTCAATTTCGTAAAGTTGATAGGGCAGGCCGCCAATCCGCCAATCCACCATACAGTAGTGCTTACGGGCGAACTGCATGTTTATTCAAAGAATAAGTGCAATAACCCGCAGGCAATGCCACCCCAAACACACACAGACACACACACGCATGAGCTGGGCCATATAATTGAGTTTATTAAATAATCATAGATATCGATCCTGGATAGTCCGTCCATGGCTCGACTTCAATTGATAGCCCCTTCGCCGACAATGGTCGTTTGTTGTGGCATAAAATAGGCAAATTGGACATCGAAAATGCAAAATATGAAATGCTTCAAAGTTGACCGGCAAGTGTGTTGCAAATAAATATGCTTGATTGATTGGCCGTTCAGGTATATTAGTACTTACATACTATATTGGCATAATGTCCTGGTGCCCAACTAGTAAGAGACTGACATCAAAGTTTTGTCAGTGGCTTGGATGATTGCGTTCACCAAATTAGTCACTAAGTGTTTAGAAAGTGCTCCCCTTTACTTGGCTCAGCTTTAACTCGCCTTCTTGCAAGTACTACAAAATCGATTGACTGACCCGCTGGTAAAAAAAACTCTACAACTAAGACCCAAATATACTCACCCACACACACCCATGCACCACACCACGCATAGTTGGCAATGGGGTTGACGTTGACAGACATAAAAATGCCTGTTATATTTAAACTGTATAGCCTTTTATCGACGTATGGCGATGCCTGCAACCACTTCTTTGTCTGACCGCATGTCGTGCACTCCTTCGGCTTGTCCTCTGTTCGACATTTTGCAGTTTATAGCATTTAAATTGACTTTACAGCTATATTCATAAGTTGGTCGACTTCGCATTTGCATGAGTTTTGTTGGCCGAACAGCATGTCGCTGGCGCTGGCCATTCCTTGATTCGACAACCCTTCACATGTTATGCTTTCTAAAAGTTTAAATCAGAATAAATTTTGTGATTCGTCTTCAAATATGGAATGGCTGGACAGATAATCGATTCCATTTTTTACTTCAAGTCAACAATTACACATATTTTCTACTATCCTGCTTTCTATTTTATTAAATATCTACGTAATTGGGCTCATATCTAAACCACTCACGTCGTTGCTTCAATCTGGAATCCAATACGTCAATGGCTGTGGTTGGATGTTTGGCAAAATTGAGCTGCATTTCATTGACCACTAACAACAACGAAACCCCGAGCTTTCAACAGTCAGTCTTCGATTAATGGAAGCTCCGATGTACCCGCAGTTACCAGATTTCAAAGTAATTGCTTATGGCATATTAATTCGACCCTACCTACCTAGCCTTCATAGAGTGGCGGATTGGCCTAATTAAATAATGGATTTGAAAGCTCAGATATGGCATAATTTTTGAATAGAAATCTTTCTGACCGACTACCTTGTCATGTTTTATATAATTGAAACTTTTATCTACATGAAGATTTGGGGAACTCAACAATATTTCCAATGCCTACATATATGTACATACTCGTATGTATTTCGTAATTAGTAGCATTATTAACTTTTCGATGCAGGCACTTGCTTGCTCCTTGAACACCAAATACCCAAAAGTTATTCTTTAACATTTCAAACATGTTTTGGTCTGCGGTTACAAACGAGCTTCCTTAAAGCGCTTTAATTTTTAGGAAATGGCAGCAGCTTCAGCTTCAGTGTTTGTGGAAAGCACGGCACGCAGCCATGTGTTACAAGCAGCCGAATTGCAGTTAGCCCTGAGCATCAGCGCGCATCGGTAGCTGCAATGGCTAAGTCGCATCAATTTTAAACGCAGCAGACAGTGCACGTCGGTACTTGGGCCACACACACGGCTCTTAAGTTATTCCACCTTAATTATATTGCAACGCGGCCCCGACAGAAACACACATATGCGAACATGAGTACCCGAGTAGGAGGGCGGTGGTAACGTGAAAGCTAGGAC